ATTATAACATAGGTAAGCGTGTGTTTTCAGGGTCCCATTTTGGAAATCTCTGGATCCGCCTCTGTATATATGTGCATATAAATAGTATTACAGTTAAATAAGATTACCCTGATCAGAAGACACCACACACTAAGAAATTGCACTGTATTATACATTTTTTTTTTTACACAGTTTTATGTATACACACAGTATGCATATTATTTCATCACTTTAAATACATACCGTACTGTACTGTAGAAAAGTACATATAAGTTAAGTAAACACACAATAGAAATAATTATAACAATATTTCTATATAATTTAATTGAAAAAAAAAGAACATTGCATAGAAAAGAACCAATTAAAGAAACATAATAAAAATTGTTTATAACAATGTTTTTAAGAAATAATTTACATTCCTTCATAAACCTTTTTTGCATTGTATTAATATGCATGACATTGTAAATCCAAAAGTACAGAATATGAAAAGTTATTTTTCGTAGAACTGCAAACGCAGCAATTTCATACTGAAATACAAATGCAACAGCTGCAAGATTATGACTCTTAAAGTTCACACTTCAATCTATCAAGATTTTTTTTACAAAAAAATTCAAATAAAAAACTAAAATATAATGAATTATTATCACTATTATTTTGTTTCATTATTTTCTGTCTTCATTTACTGTGGAATGTGTTTTTAGTACAAGACCTTCTTAGTTTATATTGTTTATATGAAAGTTCAAAATATTAATAATTAAAATTAGCACATGTAATTTTTAAAATGTTAGAATAATTTAAATGAAGGATGTAAGTTAATGCTTTTTAAAAACAATTATTACATTGAATGATTAGTACCTACTTATTCATATCAATCATATAAATAGTTAATAAAAAACACTTAAGATTATATTAATATATTAAATAGAGGTGGGAAAAGATTACTTGTTAAGAGGATGTTAATGTACCAAGGTACTATACACGCAGGTGGGGTAAGTATCTGAACCTTACATAAAGGAATGTAGTTTAAAACAATTGCCATAAGGAATGTAGATATTCAAATATATAGTAAACAGCACTTGAATGACACCTGGAATGAGGAATGTACAGGTGGCTAACAGGTTGGACAATAAAAGCCTGGTTCAAACGAGAGACCTAGTATCTGGATCGGGAGCTAATCGTTAGCACCTGTGTGAGAACAGCCAATCGGTTAGCGCTAACCATTAGCGGTATCCAGATACCGCTAATGGTTAGCAAGCACTATCGGTTAGCACGTTGAGCGCGTTTCTATCATCAACTACTCAAACGTACACGTTTAAAATTTCCAGTTTCTTACTGGCCAGTTATTCGATCTTCATATTCTTGGTATCCGGATCGGGATCTTCTCGTATGGACGCACGGCAGCTAACGGTTAGCAGGATCCGGCTAACCATTAGTTGCTGTGTAAGAACAGAGCCAGTAAACAGCACTTGAATGACACCCGGGATAAGGAATGTACAGGTGGCTAACAGGTTGGACAATAACAAGTGGCACCTCAGATCAGGAATGTACAGGTGGACTAGAACAATTTCCAGTTTCTTACTGGCCAGTTATTCGATCTTCATATTCTTGGTATCCGGATCGGGATCTTCTCATATGGACACACGGCAGCTAACGGTTAGCAGGATCCGGCTAACCATTAGTTGCCGTGTAAGATCAGAGCCAGTAAACAGCACTTGAATGACACCCGGGATGAGGAATGTACAGGTGGCTAACAGGTTGGACAATAACAAGTGGCACCTCAGATCAGGAATGTACAGGTGGACTAGAACATATGGCACCAAAAAAAACCCTGATAGCATTTTAGACATCAACAAAGAAAGGGAAATTTTACATTTTTTAAGTTCACCTAATTACCAGTACATTACAACCACAAATACACTTCTATAAATATATTATTGCAGCAATTATTTATATACAAGATTTCCAAACCGTGTTAGAATGATATTAATGTTTATAAATTAGATTCTCAAATAATTTAAATATGATTGAATTCCTAAGTTTCTATTTCAACTACCATCTTCTCTGGTACTTTATTATATCTATCAGAATCCCCATCTCCTCCCATTACTGTCTCCTCCTCATCTTCTTCCGGCACAAGATCATTATCAGAAAACTCATTCAGGGCGTCCTCTACAGTCTTAAACATGAATTTTTCATAGTTGGGAATATTGCTTCTGGACAGTTTTATGTTCACTTTTTGCTGTGTGTTGAAAAAAGAAGAAAAACTAGTAAAGAGACAGGAATTTCCTTATAAAGAATACTTGTCATTCCTTTTGTTTTTGGCAGTAATTTTCAGTTTGGAATATGAAAGACATTTCTAAAGAAGTGAAGACAACTTTCCCAATTGGCAAATAGAAATGACAATTTATTGACTGAATGTTCAGTTAATTAGAAAAGAGATTATTTATGGTACTTACCCTCACACAAGCAAATGCAACCTGAACATTTAACAATTTGCAGTCATTTAAGACATTTTGCAGACCCTGTAATGACAATGGAAAGTACAAATGTACTAATGAAAATAACAATAATGATGATAATTTTAATGATTATGATGACAGATAATAATGACATCAAGACAAGGATGATAATCATAAGGCTGAGATATGCGGGTCACTCAGACCATACTCGATATCACAGAGATGTATATAGTTTGGTTAAGGCGGAGGTATGATTGTCACTTTCAACTTAGTGGAGGAATGTCCCTAGCTCAGGGTTCTAGCTGTAGAAAATTACGGGTGGGTGGGTGACACACATTTCAAGGGTGGGTGGGTGATAACATTGGTAAACTCTAAATAATATGAGTGGATTTTAAGGATGGAAAAGTGGGTTAATAAGGGTGGGTGGAAGGCCATGAAATTAGCTTTAGACTGAGCGGAAATGGCTGGGTGGCCCTGCCCACCATAACTACATCCCTACTACCCTAGCATTATTTGTAAATTATCAATTCTTTGTTTGGGTTAATCTATTGAAAGAAATACTTTATAAAAAACTTTATTTTCAATAGCAATTGGGAAAACCAAAAATATAAACAATATCACACCTCTATGACGGAATAATCTGTGTCAGCAACATGAGTAAAATCAAAGATGACAGAGTTTACACCGCCCATAAACATGACATGTTCGTCTAGTAAGTTCTCAACCTTGTTGAGGGCGGGATAGTTCAAACCTCGTTCCAACTGTATCACTGTCACATTACCGACTTTATGTGTCTGAAATATAAGAGAATGTGTGATACTTCATCAAATTCAACCAATCAACCAATTAATCATTCAATCTGGATCACTCCATCAGTTAATAAGTAATTAATTAATCAATCACTATGTAATTATAAACAATACCTTAGCGCCAGGACGAGAAATTGGACCAAGTAATATTAAAAGGTCTACACCAATGCCAATCAAAGTTCCATATTCTACACCCAACAGCAGTGACAAGAAGAATGTCGTGAATAGGGTCACAAGATCCATCTCTGTAAAAGAATATAAAAAAAGAATATAAAAAAATATATATTATTAGAAAAAGTAATTCATATTTTTTAAACAAACATACAACAATAAATTAACATATAATACATAATGAGAGGTTGAATTAAATATAAATTAAAGTACGTACTTCGCACCCGCCATAAGTTGGGGACAATTTTGTAATCAACCATAAAGATGACGGAGTATATAATTACTGCTGCTAGTGATGCTTTTGGAATATACTGGAACAGTGGCGTCAAGCATGCAAGCGAGATCAACACCAACGATCCTGTAATAATACCAGCTAACGGTGATCGTACACCACTTTGACAATTAATGGCTGACCTGGAAAATGTAAAAACATATTATTTTATCGAATGTGTTTGCTAAGACTGAAAATTCAATCAGAAGATTTGAAAAATTGAAAACAAAAAAAATTTCATTTTTTGACTGTACAATAGTAAGCATGTCACTTGGTAGTTAAGGTGCTTGTCTTTCTAAACCACAGTACTAGGTTCAAATCCTGTTCAAATCATTTTTGTTCATGCTTTCATACAGTACACTTCCAAGACTTCATTATGGAGGTATAGATGCAGTGGCGGCTCTAGGATATATTTTCTGGGGGGGGGGCTAAATTCCGACAGGGGGGACTTGAGCTTGTAGGCTCGAGCTAGAGGAAGGGGTTGAGAGGAGGTTCCCCCTCCCAAATGAGATTTTTTTTAAGAATATCAACCTCTGGATGGCCGAAAATGGCACTCTCAGACTGTGACAGACATGTGTTAAGACATGTGTTGGCTTGGTGTGGGCCTATTTTTATATGTTTTATGGTCTGACTGCCCGACGAGCACTGTCCGGCGGGTGAGTTGACCTGTCTGGGGGGGGGCTTAATCCCCCTTCCCCCCGCTGGTGCTGCCACTGTATAGATGGGAAATTTCAAAGCGAATGTTGTGAGTATTATGGTCAAACAGATATATGGTTAGTTTGACCAAAAGAAGTCCAATCCAAATGTGGCAAAGACAAGCCAAACCAGTCACTCCTCGCAAAAAAAAAAAAATCAATTTTTAGTTACTAATACATGGTTAAACAGTAAAACGAATGTTACAAAATTGTGAAAGAATCATTTAAATCCGATGTTTGTTGGGAAGTTACAGGAATTTAAACATACACCTGTTTAAAGAATAGTATTTGAGGAATCAGCCTTCAAAATTTACAATTTTGTGGAATGGCCTTATTTATGTCTACTTGCTGATCCGTGGCGCGATTAAGGTCCAATCTCTTTCGTCGTAGTGGTCGCAGTCCCCTTTACAGTCAGAGAGTGATGTTATGTGGGGCCTAGAGATTGCACATCGCTACAGGTCAAAAAAGTACTATTTTTGAGGGGAATAATACTTTTTGAGGAGAATAGTACCTTCTATTGCCCCGCTTCTTAACCAAGCAGATGCCTAGAATCTATGTATGAGGTATATATAATAGCTAATAATACATGATGATAAGTTTCCCAGTACAAATCTGAGTTCAAAAAACAGATACATTTAGCATGGACAGAAACTACATGGTTGCCAAATGTATCCAATCCTACCTTGAGAAACTGCCAGTAATTGGATACGATGACAAGAATGACCCTCCAAGATTACAAGCACCTAGAAGAATAAAAACAAAATTTCTAAACCATACGGATGCAATGGTGGTTCAACACTAGGGTACCGGTAGATGCTGAGATGATTCAGCACGAGGCTGGACATGGAGGCAAATCTGTTTCAACATTTATTTGTTAATTTTCAATGGTTCCTGTGCACCTTCTGTCACACAAATTATATTACATTTTTATAAAGTATATCGAATGTAAATTGACTCACAATTTATTTTATTTTACTTTCTTAACCTATCCCATTAATTTGATGAAATTAAGCATTCATTATTTTTATTTAAATTGCTTCTTTTCTTGGTTCATAGGCTATCTCAGTCCTAGGACACAGACCATAACTCTATACAGGTCCTATAGGAATCCTATAGGATCCTATAAGATCCTACAAGATTCCTATAGCATCCTATAGGACTTTTTTTTTTTGTAAGGGATACCACTACTGGCTCTGGGAGAATTCTATGACTATTGTGTGACCATTTTTAAAATTTCCATGTCTGGAATAGGTTCAGCTCTTTATAACCATGTAAATTAAGAGTGAAAACATTGACAAGTAGCTTACCAACAGCAATAAGTTCTTGGTTTGAATCTACTTTATAATTCCCTTTACGACCTAAAAAAAAAAAACAATTTTAAATTTTCAAAATGGCTTCTGGTGTTAGATTTGTACGGATCATTTGCATATGTAAATTTGCTCTTTAAAAGTTTGGTGAAAATATGCAACTGTGTGTATAGGGCATAGCTTAATACTAGTACTTACCAAATCCTTTAGCAATGGCAACATTTTCAAGAAAGCCTATGAGTGGGATAAGTATTATTCCAGAGTTAAGCACCTGTGAACAATTATAGACAACAGTGGTAAGATTTAGTCTTCTATTCTCAAACAATTGGAAGTGCAAAGAATAGACACAATCTCAACTTCAAGTGAGATTTGGTACTTCAATGCAAAGCAGTATGAATATATCATAAGAGTATTAAAATCTTGAATGGATTTAAACAATGCCCAATGTTGAAGCTAAATAAATGGCAAGGACAGGAATGGATACTTCTCTGTGAATTTTAGCAGTGGAATAGCTTGTAAGAATTCTAGCCTAGAATTGTAGTGTCTTCTAGTATAATTGGTACTACTATGGGCATTTATAATACACCTCTTCCTTGAGGTTATAAAGTGCAATCCTTTTCCCTGGTCATTGGTGCACATACTTTTTAAGTGTTGTTGCTGGTAATCTGTCCTGAAGCAGGCAAACCCTACCAGGTACCCATATTACTGGAGAGAAGCAATGCAGATAAAGTGGCTTGATCAAGGACACAAGTGAAATGCACAGCGAGAAATTGAAACCCAGACCTCAAGGTTGGGAAACCAAACCGTTCCCACTGCACCAAACCTCCTTAAACCTGAGTCAAAGACTATCACAGAGCTTAGCTGTTGATAGGCATAAAGCTTCTTGGAAAATATCAATTAGAGAACCTTATTGACAATGTTCAATTCCAAGTGATTTAGAAGAGTTTACATGTATTCAACCTAACTTTATCTATTATTTACAAAGTATAAACACTATACAAAAGAAGCCCATGCATTTTCGTATATAGAGTGTCACTTGCTGTGACTGTTTATAGTATTGTACCAATAGCAGGTCAACCCTGGTTGCTGACTGTATATATTATCACTGGATGTCACATTCTTCCACTGAATTATTAACCACCAAATGTCAAATAATTTTTTTTTTAATTTGAAAAAAATATGAATTCTACATTCTTTTGGACAAATAGGTCAACAATTATAAACAGATATTTGGTTTTATGACCTAGTCATCAATTCAAAAGTTCTGGGATCAATCCTGGCAGAAAAAAATTTCATGATACTCCCATGCACCACGCCCATTTCTCCTCTCTACCACCATATGTCCCTCTCCCCACCCCCATTGGCAAAGCCATGTTGGCCATAACTTTTACTTTTTATGACAAGATATACAGCCCTCAATGATTGTAGAGAACCTCGCTATATTTTACCATATCATTGTCAACAACATAGGGTGTGCAAGAATGGTTTGAAATCACAAGATTGGTTTTTACCTCTAAAATATTCGGAGCACGGAAATCCGGTACTCTGAGCGGTGGGATGCCTGCTGTCATATTACCAGTAAGCGTGAACACTGTGGTCATTCCGTTTACTTTCAATGCATACGCGATCCCGCAGGTTAACATCACAACAACTGCATTACGAGCTGTTAAAAAGCATAATGTTATGAGAATGCGCATATATCAAATTTTCAAATCTATGCCTGTTGAAACAAAACATGCAGAGCTTTCAAAAATTTATGCAAATTATAGAAGGTGCAAAAGTAATACAAGGCAAATTTCATTGTTGATTATTAAACCTTAATATACACGCACTTTATGAATACACCAAACATGTTTCTACACGCAATAATTATGAAGAGCACTTGGCAATATGGCAGGTATTATTCTATTTTAATGAACGAAAGCATGAAATGTGAGTGTAGTTGTAGCATGGTGTTTAAGATACATGCATTCCAATCCCAGGGTCTAGTGTTTTCATTTCCCCCTAGTCCACATAGCCATTCCCCACTCCCCCTCTCACCTCTCCTCTTCATCTGACAAGCACTGACTCCCTGTTTTTGGATGCCACTTGTGGTTGTGGTACTAAAAGTACTAATTTAATGAACAAACTAAAGTTAATTGTGATTGTAGTTCTGTATTAACCATATGTACCATATTTGTACCATATTAAACCCTAAAGAAACCTTGTTGTGGCAAGAAATATTTACACTTTTGACCCCTATCAAAATATCATCCCAGAAAAATGAACTAAGGGTCATAGGTAAGGATCCCAGTCAGCAATTCAATTCAAGCATATTTTCTCATTCTCATCACCTTTCAACACTCTAACATCAGACTTATATTCTATACAGTTAATTCTATACCTCATTGGATTCACAATAAACCTTCCCTCTTTCCCTCCCTCTCCCCCACCATAAAAAATGGAGTTTGAAAATGAAGCAAGCTTCTCACCAGTTCCAAATAACCACATGATTTTCAGCAACACTTTCTTTTGGGTTGACATCGTCGTACCCTGCAGATTTTTTGTCTGTCGATCGCTATATTGTTTGCAACACTGGTTAAAGGAGAAGCAATGAAAACTAGAAATGATAATTGACAGTGGCAAAAAAAAAATCATTTGGTTTAAAGTTTGAGTATATGGATGATTTAAAGTTCAGTACTATATGACTTGATTGAAAGGATGACAATTGACATGATTTCTATTGCATCTAAGGTCAATTAAGCCATAATAAAATGGAAAATTAAATGTCTTTAAACTGATTACTTACTCTTAATATTGCCAGGACCACCATGCAACTGACACCTAAAAGTGTGTCCCATTTTCTAGTGAAAGAAATGAAACAATATTGAATCCATTTCGACATACACCAAATTTAAGACAGAATTATTGATTTTTTAGAGTAGTATGCTATCATTAAGGAAGAATAAATATTTAAAAATAAAATATGTACTGTGCGAAAGTATTTACAATAAATATTTATTAATATCAGTCATGATTATCATCCATAATCCATAATTAGGTTAAGTGTATTAAAATAAATTTGGCTTTCAAATACACGTGTACTCAATTGCCATAAACTTGTGTTTATAATTGTGTATTTTAACTGCTCAATATTATTTTATTATATCAGGTTTAAATTTATTATATAATATATATACATGTGTGTGTATGTGCGTGTGTGCGTATATATACATACAAGTTTATGTATGTGCCTCAGAATAAAATATTGTACGAGTACTTTCATAGGTCATCATCAAGTCAGGATAAGTGCTAGAATAATATTTTTTATTTGGCATTCAAAATTGTGCACATGTTCTTAATTGTAGTTTATAATTGTGTACTTTAACTACTCAATATTATTTTATTATATCCTGTATTTCATTTGCTTAAATAAAACTTTATATCCCACCTGTATTTATCTCACAACAATATCCTGTACCTACTCGTTTTTTAACAAACCTTTTAAAACTCCCCAACACTGGTAATTTTATTGCATATAATTATTTCCAAGTGTTCTGTTTCCTCATCGTAAAAAACTTTATTGGTCTAATTATTACTTCCGAATATGAAATGTAATTGTTATTGATTGGAAGATACGAGAATGTGAATGGTAATACTTTTTATAGATCAATATGAAAGCAGCAAATAGTTGTTAGCATAGCATTAGGCCAAAAAAAAATTGCTTGTTTGCCCTCATCAACCCACCCCTAACTCACTGAAAAATATAGGGGCGGAAAAACAAAAACAAAAAAAAACCTAAAAAAATGGGGTTTTTTAGCTTTTTTCTTTACAAATGAAAAATAACGTGAATTGATCTATATTTTTTGCTCGATGGTCAACAACGTTGTCTACAATTGTTGTATGATGTAAGATATTGCTATTCTATGCCTATATTCATTGCAAAATGTCAACTGTGGATAATTTTGTAAAAAAAAAATTTAAAAAATATAAGAAAAACTTTTTCCACCCTAGTTATAATTTTTTTTAAAAGGGCAAACAAACAATTTATTTTTTTTTAACCTTGTATATGGCAAATGAGATTATCCATATAATAAATTATAAAAAACAACTTTCTAAAAAAACATTTCAAAGTAAAATATATACGCTCAGTAGTTACCTTCAGTTTTATGGAACTGTGCTATGCTGATATTAATACAAATAATTTTTGATATGAATGTTTAATTGATTAATATTTAGTATTCACTAACCTTGTGTATTTAATAACTTTAATTAATTCCTTAAAATCATGGAAAAATGATTCTGACGCCATTTTGACACCAAAGATATTCTTCAACTGCCCAAACCCGATAGTGATAGCAGCAGCTGACGTGAAACCTGATATCACAACCGATGAAATAAAGTTTGTCACAAAACCTAAAATAGAATGGAAAAAAATGTGAGAATCCTTTTAATTAGGCATTGAATAAGATTGCTCCCTATTTATGGCACTCAATGTAAAAAGTAATCAAAACATGTACAGTATATTCACAGGTATTAAAAAACATTTTTCCAGAAGAACATTAATGTAGAAATAATAGATCTTTTGGATCTACAAAAATCAAATTTTTTTTTTGGTAGAATGGCAGATTTATTTTATGAGAAAAACACACATAAAAATTCAATAGAAAATTAAAATCGACTGAAGTTGTGTTGCTAGCTATTACCCAATAGAAGGGTGACTCAGGGGTGGATCAAGAATTTTTTGAATAGGGAGACAACATTTTCATAATAAGTAAGTGAGTAGCACTTACTTCAATGCATAACATTGATATGCATTGAAGTTTTAGAATTTAGTGGCAAAACGGGTGGGGGGAAGGGCACATTCCCCTGTGTCCCCCCCCCCACTCCCATGGATCCATGCCTGCGACTATGTCTTACACAAATGATGCAGAAGAATTCAGATAATTTTGCAGTCCGAAATTTGCATTATGCATGAAATTCCTGTGGATGTTGCCAAAGGCAGCAGGCTACTTGCCCCCCCTCCCCCTGACATTTAGCCCCGAGACAGAACAGAACTTGGACTGAAAAAATAAACTGAACTCTGATGAACAAAAATGAACTCTGAGTTCCAAAAATATACCCATTTTATAATTGCATCAATATCTGTAAAAATATTTACGCTATTAATACAAAATTTTGCAGTGATTTGACTTTCGAAATTTAAAATTTGTTATTGTCATGATTTTGTCATGAACGTGAATGTGAGACCAATCATATTGCGTGCCACACCGGAGATTACAAGAAGTCGATAAAGACAGGAATAAGATCAGTCTAGTGAAAGATATAGATTTTTATAAATCAAACAAGAATTGTATACTAAACTGCATGTTGAAAATGATCAATAGAAATAAATAGAACAGCTGTGTTGCCATTCAGCTGGGAATTAACGATCAATACGTTGTACATTCTCCCTTGTACTACTAAGCAATGAATTCAAACAAATTAGGTCTCTTGGCTTAAACAATTCTAAAGGCTAAAGCTCAGAGCTTGTTTAATTGCGACCTTTTCCATTTTATTATCATGCTTTATTGCCTTTCGAGATATTATTATTATTATTATTATTATTATTATTATTATTGAACAATTTCCTTTAAGCAAAACCACATGCCTACTTTTTAGTGTAAATAGTTTTTGGTGTAAAGGAAATTGTTCAATATTAAATGTAAAACAGATGAAATGTTATCAATATTAATATTAATGCATATTAATTAGAATGTATGTTTAAAATTTAAATAAATTTCTTTTAATGACAGAAGTTTAGTCTTGTTAAATCGATATTTTTAAATAAGTGTTTTTAAAAAAATACTCTTTAGAATGTATAATAGAAAATAAAAAATTCTCAGATAATTACCAAGATGGAATATGCCCATCATGATCTGAATGAATCCGCAGAAGAAAGCTAGAAGGATGGCATACGTCGGGTCATTTGTCTCTGGGTCATCCGCCAAAGCAACACCGTAGCCACTGACCAAAAGTGACATAATGGCAGTCGGCCCTATAGTTATGTCACGGGACATCCCCAGAAGACAGTAGATAAAACCGCCGAGAGCAGCTGAGTACAGACCATACTATAAATAGAACAAATACAATTATACACATAATTATCTGTAAAATATAATAATTAATAAGTAATAATTTAAGTTGTTTAACTTGGGTTTGAATTAATACATGGAAAATTGTATGAGGGTCAGAGAAATATTTCAATCCCTATGCAACAATTTCTAACTAGAAAATGGAGTACAACTAAACTAATTGCTTAATAGAAATAACAGGCAAGATAAATCAAATACTATACCCTAATGGGTTTTTGCCTATCATTTACATATTATAATGTGATGACTTTAAATTCTATTAAAAATTATATATTATTTAAATATTTGATCCTTAAAATGGTAATGATGATACTGAAATTAGTTTTAAACTCAAGCAACAGAAAGAATGGAAACGAAACAGTAAAAGATGGAACAGTGTTGAAGATGGAAGTGTTTTTTTTTAAAAATTTGCATTGACTTATAGAGCAACCAAACAATAAACCTGGTCTCAAGTTTAAATGGTAGAGAATATTAATGCATGTTTTTTTAACAATGCATTACAGTAGCTACTTACTATCTGTAATGGAATGTTAATATCTATGCCCCTATTATATAATATATATTATATTTAGAATATAGATGTTTAGGATGAGTCTTCTATGATAATAATATGCTATATTTCACCCCTTGCATATTATTTCCTAGGAGGCCCCAGTCAAATTTGTAATTGATACAATACAAATGATCCTCTCTATGACAGAAGCAAACAGTACAGCAATACAATGAAAATCATAGGGCAGCTGAGTTAGCATATTTGCTTACAATAAGCTTTCAGTTTTGTAATTCTTTCGTTTAAAAAAAAACGAAACAAAATAAATGGCGAACATTATAGTCTGAAGAGGAAAAACTCAGATTATTATAAATAATATATCAGACACATAATGAACAGTTAACATTTTCAAAGAAATAATAACACCAAAAGACAAAATCAATCATAAAATATCCTAAAAACTAGCTACTGTGTTACCATGGAGGTATGATTGGGAAGGAGATCACTCGGCAACAGATCCCTTTGACGCGACAAACCAATGTGTTCCCCGCCTTTGGATCACGCGCGGGGGCGTATTACCCTATAATTCATGTTTTTTTGTTAGCAAAAACTTGGCAACAACATGCGTTTATACGCTTCAGCAGCGCAGTTGTGTACGCAATAAAGCGTTTGATTTTAACCCATTAAATATCTTTATAATGAACAATGTTCCCATGATTGGATTTTTTTGGACTTTTAGTATGTTATTATGTGTATATTTCAGGAACAGATTCCGTAAAATATTTCTGTTAAAATTACTTTCGTGTTCATTATAATTTTGTCTAAAAATCGATTGGTCGACTATAAAGCTAAGGCAGCATAAAACTGAAAATTACTCTGATTTTGGAATGAATTTTCAAATAGTTAACCCTCGTTAACCCTAAGATGACTTAGTTTATTATAATCTTCCATCATTTCTTAATTAATATCTGTTAAAATTAAAATTATTGAGTTTTATCCAATTTATGGAAATTCAAGTTGAAATACACCATACTTTTAAAGCTGATGTAAATGATTTTTATTAAATTCGAAAGTCTTTTTCTTAGAAAACATTATTATGTTTGGTATTTCTTGAAAGATCAATGTAATAGCTTCATTGTGGAAATGATTGCGTAGCCACAGTGATTGACTGTAAGTAGTGCGCAATGAGAAAAGAACATGCTCTCTATTTCGCCATGTTTAATTTTTTGGTAATCTAAGCCAGCTGCGCATTTGGTGGCGGGGAACACATTAGACTTCCAAGGCATCGCGCAAACGTCCTATACGTGCTGCGGCAGCTTTGTGCTTAGTTCATTTGCATAGCGCTGCGTGCGCGTATGATTTTTCAAGTGATCTCCTTCTTAATAATACCTCCATGGTATTACTAAGTGAAAAAAGTACTGCTTTATTTGCATGTAGTTTGAGGCCCCAAAATGCTAGTTTGTTAAACAGCTTAAAATGTGGTTGTCATATGTTTGTCCAGGCCCAGCAGACCAAATTCCTGAAAATTTAGGGTAAGCCTTTTTTGACAAAAATATTGTTTTTTATACCTAAGGGGAGCCCAAAATACAAACAAGTAAATAGTTCACCTGAATTGGCAGTTTAGCGATGTTGGCATAGGCTAAACCTTGAGGGAGTACCGTCAGGCCGACAGTCAATCCAGCGATGACGTCGCTAATGATCCAGTCTTTTTGATACTTTGGCAGCCAAGTGACGAAAGGAAACCGTGACTTCCATTGCTCTTTAGAGCAGTAGGTAATAACCTTCTCCTTCACTTTTTCCTGTGTGTTCTTCTTGGAAAATTTTGATTCCATGTCTGTATCGACTGGTCCCTCAATTATGGCAACTCCACGGCTTCAGTCTATGAAAAGTCAAAAATGGAATCCTCAATATGAATACAGTTGTTCACAATGATACTTATAGACAGGCTATTACAATATCATCTGGCTTCTTTTATACAAATAATTTAAAATATTCTTATAATCAACGTACTTAAAACCAATCAATTATATACAGTATAGGTCTACAGTCGTGAGATTTCGGTCTGTTGGCAACAAACCCTCTTCACACAATAGTTAGCATTCCTTTACAGTTGACGTTAATGGCTCTACAAATCGAGCAATGCCCTCTACCAGCTGTTTTATAAAAAAAATTTCAGTGCCCAATGGACCGAAACACCAGAGTATAAAAAAATTCTCAGTTTACTTATTAGAGTATTCTAATTCCCTTAAATTAAGCTTGCCTTATTTCAGAATATAATTACTGATGTAGATGGTTGATTTAACATCCATTAATTACAAACTGGTTCAGGTGTGGTGGGGAGAGGGAGGGGAGGGAATAGGC